AAACACGGCAGATTGCCGTGCGCACCCGCGGAGGGCCAGCGTACCCAGCCACAGGTGGGCGGCGCGCTGGCAAAAGGTATGGGGATGGTATGGGGCCACGCGTTTATGCAGACATGACCCAGGCAGGCAGCGTCACTGCTCTTTGTCGAGCCGGCGAACAGTTTCCAGTGCCTCACGACTCTTGCGGCAACGTGTTGGAAACGCAGGCTCCTCCGGAAACGGCGACATCCGATGAAAAAAGTAGGCACGTCCACAGCGTACCTGGCACGCACTGGATCACCCTGGCGCGGACTAGCTACGACCTCCGATCTCGATTTCTCTCTCTTGTTTGTTATCCCTCTCTCTCTCTCTCTCTCTCTCTCTCTCTCTATATATATATATATATGTATATAGATCGCCCTCTCTTGCCCCCTGGGGAAGCGCGCCAACCGCATCTGCTCTCGCCCTCACCGTACCGCGAGCGATTCGCAGGGCATCTACCCGAATGTTATCAGCGCTCGGCCGAACTCGCACGACCCCGCCGACGCCGACTTTGTTGTCGCTGCCGCCGCGGGGAGAAGAGGCACGGGAAATGTGATCATCTGGTCGAACCTGGAATACCTCTATCCAAACATGCTGGCGCACCCCTGTCACTTCCGCCGTTTTTTGCCAACGGGGCCGCGGCAATTCTAATTCCGCCGGCTTCCGCCAGGCTTCCGCCGGCTTCAGCTGAAGGCGAACTCCTGGCTGGGGCGCGCCATTCGGCCCACCCTACATGCGCCGCACAAGAGGAGGGTGGGGAAGAACTGCGCCCCCACCGCATCCCCAGACGCGCGGGCAAGTTGGTCCGGACGCGCAGGCAGGTGTGACCCCGACGCTTGCAAGTCACAATCGTTTCAATGGTCGAGGGCGGGTCGTTTCCAGAATGTGGCTCTCGCCTTAGCGCCAGGCACACTCGTCTTAACAACTTGTATCAGTCTTAAGGATGGAGGGCGCGCCGTTTTCGACATGTGGCTATCGCGTTAGCGCTGCGCGCGCTCGTCTGAGACATGTGCAACCGTTTCCAAGATGGCGCGCGGGCGGTTTTGCAAATGAGGCCCTCGCCGCTTTCACTCGCGGGCAAGAGGGGCGCCGCTCCACGCCGGCGGTCCCAAGGCCTCTAGCCTCTGGGGCTGGAGGCTCGAGGCTCCTGGTAGCTCTGGAGCGCACTCGCGAGCGGCAGGTGCGCGGTGCTGAGCGCCCGCGGGCCCGAGACCCTCAGCTTCTGGAGCTGCGACGCCCTTGCCCTTGCCGATGACGCACGAGTCGCGCTCGTCGTAGGCGTCGCATGTCGCGTTCTTGCCCGCGCCGTTGATCTTCGACGCGGCTTGATTCGCACTGATCTCCGTCGGGGCCTGCGCCTTCGCCATGCGCTCCAATTTGACGGACCAGACGCACTCGGTCGACTCGCGCACGCAGGAAGAGTCCGCCATACGCGCGGAGACCACGACCTTGGCCTTGTCGACCTGCACCTCCTTCATGAGCTTCGAGGGCGGCTCGAACTTCAACTTCTGGCCCTTCTTCATCTGCTCCTCCACCTTCTCGGATTTGGAGCCGTTCTTGGTGGACTACCTGTCACCAGGATCACCAGGATCACCGCGCCCTTGCCGACGAACTACCACTGTCGCATGTCGATTTGGCTACCGAAGTGGCCGCTTTTGCCAACGATGGCGGTGTCCTTCGCCAAACGGGCGCGACGCCGCTGCCCCCTCTGCTGGCGCTTGGCCGCCTTCCCGCCCTGGGGCAGCACCTCTGCGCCCTCCCCGAACAAGCAATGGTCAGCGACGTTCCAGAACGCCGTCGTCCCACCGTCGAACTCGATCGGCCTGTCACGGACCGCCGCCTCGACCTTCGCTCGCAGGACGGGCTTGATGAGCTCGAACCGCGCCTGGATATCGTGATCCACCTCCTTGTCCTCGGCCTGCAGGTTGCCGCCGCCAGCCTGGGCCGCTCGCCAGGGGGCCACCGCTGTGGCCGCCACCACCTGGCGAGAGCCGCCAGCGCGCACACCAACACCAGGAGAGCCTCCGCCACCGCGTCGGCCATGACCGTAGACAGCTCGAACCAGGGGGGGCACGCAAGCTGCTGAGCCAAAATGGTTACGGAGGTGGCTCTCGCCATCGCGCCGCGCGGACTCATCAGAAACCGTTTCAAGGATGGCGCGCGGGTGGTTTTCAACATGTGGCTCTTGCACTTGCGCCGCGCACAATCGTTCCAACGCCTTGCAACCCAAGGCGTCGCGACTCGAAACCATTCAAACAATGCATTATGGCATGCTGCCGGAACGTCAAACGCAACAATCAAGTTGACCCGCTACAGTGGAGTTGCAGGGACGGTGTTCTGGTACTGTTAAAAAGTGTCTGGACACAGCAATTACACTGATTCGCAGCGGTGCAGTTTCAGGAATGGTGTTTCCGCACGGGCCACAATTCTCATACGGTTTGTTTTCAACGCGGCTGTTCCCTCAATGGAACACATATCGTTGCACTGGCCTGCGAAAACGGAACTTGGAGGGAAGAACATTGGAGAAGGGGACTATTAGAACGTCGTTGACGCATCCTGGGTTTGCACCAGTTATCCTCCTTCTCCCCATGTCGCCTTCCTCCCCTGCCCGATCTCCCCATTCATCCCCATCTCCGTCCATTCCTCCACACCCGCAGTCCTGTTTCATTCCACAACGTTTTCCTCGCTCTCCTCCTCCTCCTCCTCCATCGCACCACGCGTTCTCTCTGTAGGACAAGCCGGCCGTCTCGTTTGACATGTCCTTGCAACTTGCGGTCCTGGGGCATAGAGCTTCATGTCGTCTTCACCATGGGACATTCGGATGGCGCGTGCTTGCCTCAAAGTAACATAGCGGCTACGCGGATAGATGGCGGTTCGTTTCGAAAGTGTGGTTATCGCCTTGGCGTCGTCTGCATTCATACTGGACGCTCCCAACATACGAGCCAACATGTTTTATACTAAACGCCGCGGCTATTCGCTTTCAACTCTCACAGAACACAGATGGCGTTCGCGGCTCCTCTTCGACATGAAGCTATCGCTTAGCGTGTCTTCGCATGTTACAGGGGGCTCCTTTTATGGGTGGAGGGCGAAACCTTTCCCTACACGTGGCTCTCGCTGGGAATGTTCCGTGCAGCCTGACGTCCTGGTATTGAAACATGCCCGGCCATTGCACGCATAAATAGATACACTCGTTTCAAGACGGGGCCTTCGCTGGACACATTGTTGCAAGGCTTCGGGGCGCCCCCCTCTCAGACCGGAGCTCTCGCCTGCATGGCAGGCCCGGGGGGCGTTCGCCTCTCACGGCGGCGCTACACGCAGTGAACATAGAGACTCGCGCAAGGGCTCACAGGCGGAAAGCGCGAGACGCGACGGTGCTTTGCAGCATCGTTGAAGCATCCTGTGCTTCCTTTGGTCCTCGTCCTCCGTCTCCTCACATTGATGCCCCTCCCCCCTCCCTACTGCAGAGGTGCCCGAATGTCTCCAGTCACCCCTTGGACGCCGTCAAGCAGGGGCCCGAACAAGACCAGGAACAAGTAAAATAGTCCGGGGACCTCTATTATTTCTCCCCTCCTCCCTCGTCTCCCCCCACCGCGTCACGAATACGCACTCTGTTATGAATGCTACCCTCCTGTCTCTCCTAGCCATGTCCAGATGATGTTCGGACCTCTCCTCGTACTGCCTTTTGAAACACCGGACGTCAGAAGTTGATTTGTCTTATGTTGTTTGCCAATCCGATCAGTTCTGGAGTTTCAATCAGGTGCTCCCGCTGCAGCGAGGGCCTCCTTGTTTGATCGGCGCTTTGCTCCCGTCGCTCAGACTGGCGCTATCGCCACAGCGTGGGCCACTTTTCTAGCTTCAGGTCCATTCCCCAGCTTGCAGTAAAGGGGTCCTAACGGATGTTCCCCAAATCGTTGCTTGCACTGAAAGGGTCCTAGCAAAATACTGGCCGATTCCGGTGGGCAGCCAGGTCCCCGGGTTCCCAGTTCCGGGTTTCCGGGTTGCTGGTTGTTGGTTTCGGGCCGATTTCGGTGGGCGGCGGGGTTCCCAGGTTTCTGGGTGCCCGCGTTCCTGGTCGATCTCCGTATCGATTACCCCTCTCTCTATCGACCTCTGTATCGAAACCACTATCGATCATGATCGATATCACTTTCGATCTCGCTGCAGATCGCACGAGCTATCTCGCGATCGATCTCACTGAATCGACTTCACTGTCGGTCTCACGATTGACCTTACTATCGTCCTCACTATCGATCCCATGATGGATTCCATTATCGATCTCACAATCGAACAATCGATCTCCATATCTTCGCAGGGGCTAGATAGGATCGCTCACGAGGGCAACGTGGAGACAAGGCAGAGAGAATGCAGCGGCCAAAGGAAGATGCAGGGACAGGGAACACAAGAATGGAACGACGGAGTGTGAGCACTAAGTGTGGAACCCACTGCCAACCCCATGCAGGGTATGGCAGCGAGGAGGAGTTCAAGTCCCGATAAGCACAGGCCCCGTGCGGGACCTGCGCAAGGACGCTTCCCACCCCGCGTGCACTGTTGGAGGTGTAGGCGCACGTTGGGTACACCCGCACCTTGCCCATGATGCGGGGCGCCTCCTTGAAGCTGCCATTCCTAAGGGGGCCGCAGCGCGATGCGTCACGCTACACGCTGCAAATGCCCCCGCTGGCAACCAGCACGGCGTCAGACCACGCCGCTGCATGGTCAACGGATGCCGTGTGGCACTGATGCCCCAAGACCGTAAGTATCTGGAACGGACCATGGGATAACGGCCCGCGCGTCGCGGTGCTGTCGCCGCGCGCGGCTCGAGGACGCCCGTTTTGACGAAACTGGGCGGGTGGGCCGAGGGAGAGTCTCACCAAGGCTCGAGCCAGCGGCTACGGACAACGACGACGATGTGACAGCGACGATGGCGCCGAACACCATGACAATCATTCACGGTGTATGAACCTCACCTGTCCCGGCAGTGGCGTCGATTTGTTGCGCCCACTGGGGCGGACAGATCGCACCCCCCCCTCTAAGACGAACGACGCCGACAAACGCTCCATGGCCAGAGGGGCGCTGTTGACAAAGTGCCCCCCCCTCCTGCGAGGACTCCCAGGCGAGCGGCGCAGACAAACGCTTCAGGGACAGAGGGGCGCTGCTCATAAAGTGGCCCACCCCCTCCTGCGAGGACCCGGCGACCGCAGTGCTGAGGAATAAGTTGGGTCCCAAATGCAACCGCCTTTGCCCCGCGAAGGTCAGACAGGAAGGCTCAGCCCCCCTTGCACCGAATGCCAGTCGACCATCCATAGCACTATCCCCAAACCGTCCACTGGTTCGGGCCTTTCTGGTGTGATTTCGTCCTTGCCGCCCTCTTCATTATCCCTCCTCCGCCTTCCCCTGGTCCTCCTGCTCCTTCCGCTCCTTCCACTCCAGCTCCTGCTGCTGCTGTTTGTCCTCGTCCTCATCGTTCCTCATCCTCATTTTCATCTTGCTCATCCTTCTGCTCACCCGCCACCTCCTCCTCCAGTGTACGCAGCTCCCTTCTTGTCCGATTGCGTATAACACGATGAGACCATTTTCGGAGGTCCAGGTATGGGCGCGAGGGAATGGATATCAGATATGGCGCGAGCGCACGTGGCTTGCCCATACTACTCTCCCTCTTCCCCTGATGACGTGCTGGGAGTGTTCGCCACCCCCCCCGCGTCCTGCTTTTTTACACACAGGATTCCCGGGAGTTGGTTTTCGCCTGCATTCTTTTTCAAAATGCTGCTCTCGCTGAGGCGCGGGCCTCATTTTCGGGCCCCGCTCGTTCCGAATCGTGCTCCCGCTGCAGCGCTGGCCTCATTTCCGTGCTTCCGCTTGTTCCGAATCGTGCTCCCGCTGCAGCGCTGGCCTTATTTCCGCGCTTCCGCTCGTTTCGACTCGTGCTCCCGCTGCAGCGCTGGCGTCATTTCCCGTGCCATGCCACGGCATGCGATGCAATGCTAGGTTGATACTACGCTTTGCGGTGCTCTTCTACGCCATGCCATGCCGTGCTCTACAATGCATCGCGTACCCTTTCGGGATCATTGCCCTGCTCGACATCCGACTGTGCGAGTAGAGAGGGGATCTGCGCCATGGTAAGGGATGGGAGGGAGGGGTAGGATGTCAGATATGACGCGAGCGCACCTAGCTTGCCTCCCCTCCCCTCTCCCAACCCCTCTCCCTATCCCTACCTCCCTCCCCTACTCCTCGCCCTGCTCCTTCCCTCCCCCCCCTCGCCTCCCCTCGAGGGGGCGCACCTTTGTAGACCGCGCCCTCCGAAGCACGTCGCGGAGCCGCTCTCCGGAGCCCCTGGAGACCAGAAGCGCCTGCGGAGCGGCGGGGGGAAGGTCTTGGCCGCTTGTCCTACACGGCCTCACCGCATGATCCTCCGGGGGCAACGGCTCACTGCACCTGTGGGGAATCAAGAAGCTATGCGCACTGTGGGCTGAAGGCTAGACAGACAGACAGACAGACAGACAGGCAGACAGGCAGGCAGGCAGGCAGGCAGACAGACAGGCAGACAGACAGGCAGACAGGCAGACAGACAGGCAGACAGACAGGCAGACAGACAGAGAGGCAGGCAAGCAGGCAGACAGGCAGACAGGCAGACCGTGCTCCCCCTGCTCCCCATCCTCCGTCCCTCTTTTCCTCCCGTCGCCATCGTCCCGTCGTGTGCGCCGTGCCGCCTGCGAACGTGAAGCCCGCGCAGGACGCAGAACAGGCTGGTCCCCCGCGCGTGGACGCACCCACTGGCGCCTCAGGTGGAGCTCCCTGTCGGGCCGCGGGGCGCGGGACGGGTGCGTTGCACTGGGCGGGCGCGTTGGGTCGGGCGCCGCTGGCGCCCGCCGGCCCATCGGGCAGGCCCGACGTGCTGCGCGGCGCGGCCCCCGCAGCGGCGGGGCCATCAAGTGCGCGGGCGCGACGCGAGGCCCCGCGCCGCCGGGGCGTGCGGCGGCGGCGCCCAGCGTGCGTGCGGCGGCCGCGCGGCACGGCAGGCAGAGCCGCGAGGGGCCCACGTGGCCCCAGCTGGCCTCTGGACAGGGCCGGGCGACCATGGCCGAGTCCACGGGGGGGGCCTCAGAAGGGGGCCGCGAGCGAGAACACCATCTCGAAACTCGCTCGCCCTCGGTCTGCGCAGCCTGGGTCATCACCAGCATCATCGTCATCGTCGACCGACTTCACCATCGTCGTCGTCGCAACCGTCGCCGCTGCCGTCGGAAGAGGACGGGGGACGGGAGGCAGCATGATGCTCTTCAGTGTGGGCAGACGTATGCACTTTGGCAAGCCCAGCTGAAACTTACACTTGCGTTGCAACTTCAGCGGAGCTCAAGGGCCGGGGCCGCGGCCCAGGGCGGGGCCGGGGTCGGGGCCGGAGCCTGGGCCGGAGCTCCCAAGACCGCCCCAGCAAGAGAACGCCACAGGCTCCCGAGAGGCCTCCAAGACGACCAAAGCACGGCGCAAACATACCGGTCAACACATACTGCCTAAGGCTACTGCCAACACCCTCCTTCCCCCCCTCCTCCTCCTCCTCCTCCTCCTCCTCCTCCTCCTCCTCCTCCTCTTCCTCTTCCCTCCTGCCTCCTCGAGGTAAAGCTCACAAACTGTTAAGCAAGACGAGTTCGCACGGGGCGCCCCGGAGCGTCCCGGATCAGCAGGACGGGCCGGAGGCCTGTACAACTTGTGAAGCGTGTGACAGAATGGACGTGGTAAGGCATACGAGCCCTGCCATCGGAGCCTTCTGTGGAGCTCAAAGCGTAAGAGGCGAAAGTGGGCGTAGTCTGGCATGCGAGCCCGAACATTTGGGCCTTCTGTGGGGCTCCTGTGGGGCCACGAAATGTAAGAGCGGTGTGCCCGAGTCGGCGTAGCCGGCCATACACAAATCCTGCCATCAAGGCCGTCTGTAGCGCTCCACGAAATGAGCGGGCGATGTGCCAGAATGGGCGTGGTCAGGCACACGAGGCCACGAAACGTGTGAGGGGTGTGCCAGAATAGGCGTGGTCAGGCATACGAGCCCCGCCATCTAGACCTTATGTGGCGCTCCTATGGGGCCACGAAGTGCATGAGGGATGTACCAACATGGGCATGGCCAGGCACACGAGCCCAACGATTTGGGCCTTCTGTGGAGCTCCTGTGGGGCCACGAAGCGCGCGAAGGGTGTGCCAGAACTGGCGTGGCCAGGCACACGAGCCCTGCGACCTGGGCCTCCCGTGGAACGCCCCGTGGGACCGCGAGAAGCGTGCGACCGCCGTGCCGGAAGGGGGCACACGGAGGGCCGCTGCAGGAGGGAGGAGGGGGGAGGAGGAATGCACACGGAGCGCTGCGTGCTCAAAACAAGGACCCAGCACAAGTGGATGGCGGGGGGAAGCGCCCGCCTCCTCCTCCCGCACGCCCCTACACGCGCGGAGACACCCCGACAGCCGCAGACCCCGCGACGTGGCGACTCCTCCGCAGCGTGGGCCCCCTGGAGCTCTCGACGCCCTCCCCGGGGCCCCGCTCCTCGCGCCGAGCCGCTTTCTTTGGAAGGCGGTCACCACGGGGCCCGGCAGAAGGGCCCCGGGAGGCGGAAGCCTGCAAGCCCGCAAACCTGTCCACTCTGATCTCGGGTCCGTAGGCGAGGACGTCTGGGCGCACTGCCCTGCCTTCTCCTTTTAGAGCAGCGTGAGGTTGGAGGGGCCCTGAGACACACAAATTCGCCGGCCCAACGGGCCAGGGCGTGCTAAGATCTCCGGTAACTGGTTAACAGTATTAACAGTATTTCTAGTTCGCGCGCGCGGGGCGGCCCCTGGGGGTCCCCCGGCGAAAAGTACCCCGACCAACGCCCGGTCGCCGCCCGACCGAGTCTACTCAGAGATGGTTTTCCTTCTGGGTGCGGCCTCTCAGGCTCCCCAGAGCGCGCTCAGAGTGCCCCAAGAGGCCCCCAAGACTGCCCAAGAGGCCCCCGAGACGCCCAAAGAGCGCTCGAAGACGCCGAAGATGACCCCAAGACGGCCCAAAAGGCCCCCAAGACAGCCCAAGAGGCCTCCAAGACGCCCCAAGAGCCTTCCAAGAGGCCTCCGAAGAGAGCCCCAAGAGGCCAAAATCGTTGATTTTCATTGTTTTTTTCGATGTTTTTTGTGTTCTGGCTTTTTCGGCTTCCGGACGCTCCAAGACGGCCCAAGAGGCCCCCAAGACCGCTCCAAGACGGCCCACGAAGCTCCCAAGACGGCGCCGAAACGACCCAAGAGAGCCCTCAAGACGGCCCAAGTGCCGCCCAAGACGGACCAAGAGGCCCCAAGACGGGCCCAAGAGGGACTCAGGAGGGATACCGAGAACTCAAAAATGGAGCCCTCCGTCCCAGAAGGCGCCCAGGAGGTCCCAAAGAGGCCCCAAGAGGCCTCCAAGAGGCCCCAAGATGTCGCCAAGAGGCCCCAGGAGACTCCCAGGAGGCCCAAAAGAAGCCCCAGAAGGCTTCAAACATGTCTCCCAGGCGCCCCCGAACGGCCTCTCAACAGACCCCAAGAGGCCCCCCAAAGAAGCATCTTGACGACGACTCTATTTCGCCCCATCGAGAGACGACCCCCAGGGAACTGCTTCACCATCAAAACTCCCCACGCAACGCGTCCGAACGACACCCGCCCCCAAGAGCGCAACATGGGCAACGAACACACAGACAAAAACCAGCGATGCCATATCACGGGCCGGCGGAATGAGCGAAGCGATTCAATAAATATACACAAATCAAAGGATGTCCCATACTTTCCCATATTTTCGGGGTTTTGTCTTCCCCCCACTTCCCATATTTTCCCATATTTTCTATGGAATCGACGATTAATTGTCTCTGTGTGTTTCTAGCTTTCCCTCCTGAGAGGTGCGCGCGGATTTCTGGGATCGGCGCTGAAACCCCCTCCCTGGCGCGCGGAGCGCGCTGGGGGCGCCAGAGGAGCCGCCAGGGGGGGTCCCAGATCGAATCCAAGAACTCCGCGCGGACCTCACAGAAATTATGCTTATGAAAATTGGTGCCCTTTGAGTTTTGAAACTGTGTATACGAATTCGCGCCAGCCATCCGTGTCCAATCCGCGTCGGATCTACGTCGGATCTACGTCGGCCACGTCGAATCCGTGTCGAATATGTGTGTCGAATCAGTGTCGAATTCGCGCCGCATCAGCGCCGAACCCACGCTGAAGATCAAGGGGAGACGGTCATCTACAGGACAACAGATTTGCCGACCCCCGCTTGCCGGGAGTGAAAAGGCGTGTGAAACATCTTAGGGGAACAAAAAAAGGCATGAACAAAAAACTCTGAGGTTCGCGCGGATCTCTCGGATCGGCGCTGGACCCCCCTCCCTGGCGCGCGGAGCGCGCCACGGAGGCGCCGCCGGGGAGGCCCAGCGCCGATCCGAGACATCCGCGCGGACCTCCGAGTGGTTATGTTTATGCCACTCTTTGTTCCCCTACATTTGGCTGCCGCCCTCCCCTTTCCCCCCCCCCAAAGATCCGATCACAGGGGGGGGGGGGGGGACGAGCTCGTCAACGCACACCTGGGGCCTCCAGAGCCCCCAAGCAGCCCCAAGACAGCCCAACCAGGCGCAGACAGGGCGCCAAGACAGTCGAACAAGGCGTCATCGCGGCTCAGGGTAGCCCCGCGACGATCCAAGATGGCTTCAAGATAGCCCACGAGGCCCCCAAGACAGCCCAAAAGCGCCTCCAGAGGATCGCCGAGAGGGCCCCAAGAGGCCCAAATCATCCCACTCCTTGGGGGAACATACATGTTCAACACATTCGCATTTTATGTCTTGACCGCGCACACGACGGCCCAAGTGGCCCCCAAGATCGTTCGAAGACGGCCCATAATGCTTCCAAGAAGGCCTCAAGACGGCCCAAGAGACAGCCCCAGTGGCCCCCCAAGCCGGCCCAAGACAGCCCCTGGAGGGCCCTGGACTCCAAGAAAGCCCATGACGGGGAATACGAAGTGACATTTTGAGCATTCCCCATCGAGATGGCCCCTCGAGCGCCCCAGAGAGGCATCCCAAGATACCCTCAGATTCATTGAGGAGGCTCCTGACCAAAGATATAACTTCCACGATCGTCTCACACACTCACTCCTTGTGGGGGTCGTTGGAATGGCGTAAGCCACGGGATAAATAAAGGCATTCGGGATGGGGTCGGAGTAGATGGGGTCGGACTATCGCGCCGCATCGCCGATGCATCGCTGGATGCACCGGCGACGCGTCGGCGACGTCGGCGTTGAGAAATCCGGGATCCACATCCAGCCGCGATGCATCGGCGATGCGGCGCGATCCTCCGACCCCATCTGCGCGGACCCCGGCTAGGAAGCCTGGAGAAAATATAACAACAAACATCTGTATATATATATATATATATATATATATATCCGCAATAGACATAAACTTTTGGTGCTCCGCGCGGATTTCTTGGAACCGCGCTGGACCCCCCCTCCATGGCGCGCGGAGCGCGCCAGGGGGCGGCGCGCGAGGCGCCGCCGGGGGGGCCCAGCGCGGATCCAAGACATCTGCGCGGAGCGCCAAAAGTTTGTGTTTGTGGCGTTTTTTCTTCTTCGAGGAAAGGCCCCCCCGAAGATGCAGCGTACAGCCCCCCCTCGGGTCGGGCGAAAGGGGGGGATAGCAAAGGGGGGTTTGAGAATCAGCTCACGTAGCTGACTTTCCTGGCGCCTCCCGGCGCCGGAGGCGGCTATGTGTCGAGGAATGGGCCCCTCGGTGAGGCCGAAACCAGCTGCAGGCAGCAAATTTCCTATCCCCCCCTTTCCCAATCCCCCCCTTTCGTCCAGCCCGACCCCTCGCCATCGCTCGGACGTCCATTCCGGGTGCTTTTTTCGGTTTCGTGCGTGGCGTTTTCGCCAAATGATCAAGGATGCTCCTCGATTCGATGGTCCTCGCCGAAGGAAAAATGCACACGTCCGAGCGATGCCGAGACCCCCTCGCCGCGGGCGCCGGCGGCAGCTCCGCCAGCGCGCTGGCGTCCTCCTCCTCCGCGGGCGCGGGGGCCGCCGGGCCCTGCGCGGCGCCCTCCTGGCAGCAGCGGGCGGGGCCACCGGCGGGGGGGGGGGCCCTCGCATGCGGGCACGTCTGGGCGGGAGCCCGTCGGGGCGGGGGTTGTCGAGCGAGGTTTTTTGAAGCAGGCCTGGGATTGTCGGGCGACTTCGTCCCGATGCTCTCTTGTGGCTATGTGTTCTTCCTCTTCCTCTCCATGTTTACGTTCCTCCAGGTTCGACTGGGGGCTCCATGTTTACGTTCTCCTGTTGGCTGTTGTTCCTGATGTGCAACTCGTGGGGGCGGGGGTGCGCTGCGATCGCCCGGGTACGCGCGCGAGCACCAGCATGCGGGGGGGGTGGCCCAGCCCCCCCCGCCCCCCTGCACGTCCGGTCATTGCCGCTGCCCGGTGGGGAGGGGGGGAGGTGTGGCCCGGGTGACGACCGCGTCGCGCCAGGTGGTCTCTCTGTGCAACCGCAAGAGCCATCTCCCAAAGGTCCGGGGTTCCTAACATGAACAGGAGGGATCGGTGGCGACGCTCATGGGGGATAGGCATAGGGGGAGATGCATCGACCCCCAATCGCCCATTGATCGCCGATAGGGGTCTGATAGCCCCACGCCGCCTAGGAACTTGCCGATTCGCCATCGGGGGGCTTTCCCCGATCCATCAGCGATGTATCGCCGATTCCAGGTCGATGTTTCCCCCCCTTTGCCAGGATCGTTGTCCCTCAAGGGAGAGGACATGTCCCTGGAGGGAAGGGGCCCTCAATCTATTCGCCGCTTCTGCCCTCCAAAGGCCCTGGGGGCGTCAACAGGTGGCTCGGGATGAGCTGGTCCTGGGGAAAGGCGGTGTTGGAGATAGGACGATTGAAGGTTTCGTGGTCGAGGTTCGAAATTCGAGCTGGCCGTGAGGGAACCAAGGCCACGCTGACGGCGATGCTGGTTAACGGCGATGCTGGGAATCTGGTTCCTGCGGCCCCCACCCAAACCTACATCGCCATTGGCGTGTCTACAAAGCAAGGCCCCGGGTCAGGGAGCCGCTTCCGTGATCCCTTTCCCCCACGGGACGACAGGCCAGGAGAGCCCGAAGACGGCCAAAGAGGCCCCCAAGAAGCTTCCAAATGCCCTCCAAGAGGCTCAAGGAAAAGGGTCCTCCGAGAGGCCCCCAGGAATGCTCCCAGGAAGCCCCAGCTCCCAAGATGCCTCCTCATGCTCATCCTCTGTCCTTTTCCGCCCCCTCCATCTCCTATTATTCCTTCTTCCCCACATTTCCCCCTAATGGTTTTCAGGACGGCTGGGGGAACACATAGTCCTACACCTTGGCCGATGTCTGGCTACAACGTCTTGCCACATAGGCGCTTCCAAAACGCAGGCGGCGGCCGTGATTCGCAGTAGGCGTATTCGGTATCGTCGTCCGACGAGCTTCTGAGGACTCAAGATGCCCTAAGATGGCCAGGATGACCCCTGGGATGGACCCAGAACGGCCGCAAGAGGACCCCAAGGGCCCACAAGAGAGTCCTCACCCCCAGGGAGTCTTGGGAGGGTCCTGGTAGCTGTTTGGCTCATGGGCTTCAACATGGGCCAACGAGAATCCCAAAAGAGGTTCAAGAGGGCCCCAGAGCCCCAAATGGCCCCGAGAGAGCCTGAGGCAACTCCAAGATGCTTCCGGATGGCTGCAAGAGCGCCCCAGGCTGGCTACGTACTTCTGGAATCTGCCCGGACTGATCCCCTGCATCCCCTGCTTGGTTGGACTGGTGCCACCCCCACCCCTCTTCTCACGACAGCTCGCCCGGGAACCGCGTCTGGATTGGCCGCCGCTGGGGAGGACCCGCTCTGGGGGGAAAACATGGAGCTGGAATTGGCGAGATACCTCGCCGCCACATCGGCGATAGGCCCCCGATGGCGAAACCGCATGCTCCTCGGCGTGGGGCCGTCAGGCCAGTACGTATCGGGGATCAGTGAGCGATTGGGAGTCGATGCGTCCCCCTGAGCCTGTCCCCCCCCCCAACGTTGCCCCCGACAAACTCTTTCGCCGCGGGGCGATCGGCGCGGCAGAGGTCTCTAAGGCGGGTCGCGCCAGCAGTAGAATTCAAGTAGGGGATCGACTCCGTAATCGATGCATCCAGAATTGAACTCCTTCCCGAACCTACACAACTATGCGTAGAATGTTCAAGGGTCTACGGACATGTTACGCATGTTTGCATACTCGACGGGATAATAGGGCAAACCAATTAGGCCAGAAGAGCACTCTTCAAGACCATGCGAACCTCCGCCGGCCAAAACAAACCAACCTTCAGGGGCACCCTCCCCAGGATGCACAAGAACACCCAGCAAACACGAAGATGGGGGAACAAAAAGATACCCATACCGCCGAAACTCCCCATACCTCTCCCAGGGCGCGTTCTGGCCAGAATTTCGATGCGAATCCAGCGGTGGCGACGAGGCCCTCCCAGGAGGCCCGAGAAGGGGACACGAGGGAAGGGTAGCGGTATGGGTACCTTTCTCCTCCTCTGGGCAGAGCACCAGTCGAGCAGGGACCGACCGTCCCGGCATCCCTAGAGTCCTACCACGAACTGTTCCTAGAACCCAGAAGTGCTTTAAGAACAAAACAGTGCTCTCAGAACATTGGCCCGATGTGTTAAAACAAGACAGTCTCAACCAGGCATGGTCTGAGAACATGTCGTGGAAACCTCAAGAGGTTCTTAGAACATTGCTTGGTGGGGCTACTGGCGAGCCTGGCCCGGCTGCAGCCGATCTCCCCTGCAGGCTCGGAGGCGCGCAGCAGGCGGGGAGGAGCCCGGCCAGCAGGGGGGGAGGGACCGCGGAGCTGCTGGGGGGGGGGCGGGGGGGGGGCGGGGGGGGGTTGCGGGTGGGTCGCGGGGTGGGTCCCCGGGTGGGTCGCGGGGTGGGGCGCGGGGTGGGGCGCGGGGTGGGTCGCGGTTGGATCTCGGGAGGTGCGGGGCAACCGCATGAACATACAGCCGTCGTGCTACCCTGAAGGACGTTGAATGAGCAAAGAAGGGGCCGTGGAGCTGCTGGGGATCGCGCTGGGCGTCCAGAGCACCAAGACGGCGGCATAAGTTAGAAGATCCTTTAAGACGAAGCCAGGACGAGGACCTATTCGGATGAGGATGAATCGAGAATCTCTGACGTCCAGCGGCTCTGGAGGATGTCTCGGGCGCCGCGGCCTTCTCAGAGTGTCCTGGAACGCTCTGAGAGCGTTCCAGAACGCTCTTGAACGGGTTTATCCTCGTCCCAGCCCCGCCCGATGCAGGGCACCAAGACGGCGGCATGAGTGATATTCTTGCCGTCGCGGGCGGACATTGACGAGGCCATCAAAGAGGCGCCGAAGTCAGCGCAGGGGGGGGATGGGCTCCCACTCGCAGTGGGGCAGTCGCTAGGGCCTCTAGGCGGGGATGTGCTCGAGGCAGTCCTCCAGGGTATGATGTCTGGCGACGGCCCTGGGATTGTCGCCTGGGACTGCCCTGCCTTCAACGATTCCCGCACAGTCTTCTTAACCCGAGGTCGGCACGGCCTCGGCCGGCAGGGAGCGGCTGGCGTGTAAACCCGACGCCATGCACCCCCTCAGCATAGCCACATGTTGGCCAACGCAGTGAGGCTTTCGTTTTCGTGTTGTGTTCGCTCGTTCCGTCTTCGTTCCGCCTCCTGCTGCAACACGAGATCGAAACGATAACGGTTCCCCAAATCGCCGAAGCACACTCTAGCTCGAGAACTATAGCCCCCCGCCATTGCGATTGGGAGTGAGGGGGCGATCGCTTGGGGGGGGCGGGGTGGGTGGCGGGGTGGGTCGCGGGTGGGTCGCGGGGTGGGTCGCGGGGTGGGTCGCGGGGTGGGCCCCAGGGTGGGTCGCGGGGTGAGTCGCGGGGAGTGCCGCGGGGTGGGTCGCGGGGAGTGCCGCGGGGGAAGAATGGGAAGGGGGGGCAACTGCACTGGCACACGGCCGTCGTGCTGCCCCGGGGGACGCTGAACGAGGCACGAGGGGGCGCCTCCCGCCACGGCGAGCCTCGGCCAGGGACACCCATCCCCGACCCAGCTCTCGGGAGCGGCCCGGCAGAAAGCCGCAGCCCATCCTGAGCTTCAAGGCAGTCCTTAGCCTCAAGTCGGGCGTGTCCCCCTACAGGGGGATTTTCGATGAAAAAAAAACACCCCAAAAATATTCCGAAATGGCCTTAAAATAGTCAAAAAATGGTCCCCGACTTTGTTTGGACTATTTTTGAATATTCCTCCTGTAGAGGGACAGGCCCGACTCAACCTTAGCCTGCGGCGCCTTGCCTGCACAAGCTCTCGGAAGCCCCCCCTGCGCGCCGCTGCCCGCCTCCGACGGCGTGCTCACCATGCGGAAAAGGTGCCCGTCGTGGCTGTCGCAGATGACGGCGCCCACGACGCCTCCGGCGGCCGCGTTCCTTCGGGGCGGGGAGGGCTTGGAGGCTGCGCAGTGGGGGTGGGGGCAATGACTGGGGGGGCGGCGAGGGCTGCCGAAAAGGGGCCCTTCAGGGCGAAGGCGCCCTCTGCGGCCCAGAAGGAAGCTTCGAGGGCCCGAAGAAAGCACCTTTCTCCCCCCCCCTTCATCTATCGCCCCCCCATGAGTTCGCGCCCGAGACCAGGGGGGGGGCTTTGGTGGTCTGGCAGCTGCCGCCCGCAAGACAGGGCTGGGAGATGAGATGTTTTTTCATTCTGATGGAGGAAGGGAGGGGGTGACAACGAAGAGGGGCTCCACGAGGAGACAACGCTTCGTTGCTGCAGGCGGAGCACCCGGGCAACTCCACGGGTAACTCCACGGTGACACCAGCGAGAGGGCGGATCAGATCTCTCCTTGATAAGCGCTCGGGAATCATGAGCTGTGGCGGACCATAGCCGTGGTGGCCGTAGCGGGGTTGACAGATGCGTCGTGGTGCTACTGCCCCCTCGCGGCGAGGCCAGAAAAAAAAACACGATCGAGGACTCGCCGCAATCTTCTGCCGCAAGGGGCCCCTCTGCTGGGCACTAGTGCTGCGAATCGACCGCTCGGAACGACGAGACTGTCCCGGGAAATGGCGGCCTTGGGCGTTGCTCAAGGGGAGGGGGATTATTCGGGGGGGCAGGAAACGTGCACCTCTCGTGCCCCTTTTGGGCGCCAGACCCTCTATGGCCCAAAATTGCACAGAAGGTGCTTCTCTCTTTTCCCCGCACTTGTCGCCCCCCACGCAACGCCCGAGGGGCCAGACGTGCGGACCTCCAGGCGGTCCCCGCTGCGAAGAAAAAAAACGCTCACGCCGCCAGGGGTCCGGGTGAGAAGTAGTGGGCCCGCCCGGCGCACCACTCGAGGGGGCCACCGCGCACTTCCTTCTTCAGCCCAGGGGGGCGTGCATCTCGCTCATGTGCAGAGGCCACCTAGATGGGGTCGGAGTAGATGGGGTCGAAGGAACTCGCATCATCGCCGATACATCGGCGATACATCGCAGATGCATCGGCGATGCATCGGCGATGCACTGGCAACGTCGACAATGCATCCTCAACGTCGGCGTGAATAAAAGTTGGCCCCACGTCGAGCCGCATCGCCGATGCATCGGCGATGCGGCGCGATCCTCCGACCTCATCTACTCCGACGCCATCTAGGAGGCCTAGAATGTGGTGGTGGCGGAGAAGGGAGCAGAGAGTGGTTTTACATTCGGGGCGATACCGGGCGTCATGTGCACGCCATCCCCCCTCGCCGTGTGGGTCTTGACCACGCACTGCGGTGCCAGACGCATTGCGGCAGTGCCGGGGACTCACTGGGGGGGGGGGGGGGGTCGTGTAATGGGGAGGAGGAGGAGGAGGAGGAGGAGGGAGGAGGAGGAGGAGGAGGAGGAGGGGAGGAGGAGGAGGAGGAGGAGGAGGAGGAGGAGGAGGAGGAGGAGGAGGAGGAGGAGGGAGGAGGAGTAGGAGGGAGGAGGAGGAGGAAAAGTAGGAGGAGAAGGAGGAAGAGGAGGAGGAGGAGGAGGAGGGAGGAGGAGGAGGGAGGAGGTAGGGGGGATGGGCAGGAGGGCAGGGCATAACGCTCTTTTTGGCCCAGAGGGTGGTTAGAAACACACTCTCATGGCACACGAGCAGATGCAGACGGGGATGAGAGAGCTCTCTGAAAGAAGGCAGTCCAGTAACTTGCGAACTACGTCAAGAGCCGGGAGCTGACCACCTCGAATTCGGAACTCCGATCCGAACCTGGACCCTCCGATCACAAACAAATCAATGAGCTGCGTCCCAAATCCAATCATCCGAGCATCGTTGCCACTGCGGCACGTGATTGCACATTCTTTGCACGAGTTGCTGCGGATGTGCATGCATGCACGCAGGCATCATTGCGTGAATCTGTTGCGAACCGTAGCCACCGAGGCTCGAATCCCAGAGACACGTCGTAGAGCTGAGCGGAAAACATGCGCGATCACAGCTTGAGAGCTCTTTTGTTCGACGGCGAGCGCGGGGGGGGAGAAGGGGCGGGCCGTCTCAGAAGGCTCGGAAGTCCCCCGGCCTTCTGGGAAGTTCCCCTCTAAACTCCCCCCGGCTGCGCAGAGAGAACCTCCTGAGCAGGCGCGAGGGCTCCAGAGAAGTCCCGCCGCCTTCTGAGGAGAGGGCCCTCTCACTCTCTCGGCGACACGCCAGAGTGACCCTGGGTAAGAGTGACCTTTGGTGCGCGGCTTGTTGGTGGCCACGTGGGGACCAAACCTTGGCGCGCAAGCCGTTGCTCCTGCTTCGTTTTCAGCCCCCTGGGGACCCCTCTGTGCCCGCACCAGAGGTCACTCCGGCGAAAGGCCACTCTTACGTCTGGTCGACTCTCTGCAACCCCCCGCGCCCCGCTCGCCGACGACTTCGGTGCCATATGGATCCTGCCCCCCCGGCCCTGCCCGGGGGGCCCGGTGCTCGCCGCCTGCTGGAGCCCGCGCCCCGCCGGGGGGCCTTCGGGGGCAGCCGCCGCGCCCCCCAAGCCCCCCCCCCCCCCCACACCGCCAGCGCCCCGGGGGCGACCAGAGGGCACCTCGCCATCGCTCGGACGTCCATTCCCTGTGTTTTTTGGGGTTTCGTGCGTGTTTTGATCGCCAAATGATCAAGGATGCTCCTCGATGGTCCTCGCCGAAGGAAAAATGCACACGTCCGAGCGATGCCAAGGCACCAGGGAAGCGCGCCAGGGGCCTCGCTCGGCGGCGCACACGGGGGGAGGGGGGCAGCCAGTCAGCTCGTGCGATCGGGCTGCGCGGCAAGGACGCTCAAGGGGCCTCGGAGGGCCACGTGAACGTTTTTCGAACGAGGCTGGCCAGTGAGCGTCGGCAAGGGTGGGCCGACGGGGCAGGGATGCAAGGGCAGCCTTGGCAAGTCGATCATCCTTCCTGTGCGGGTTGACCCTGGGGGTAAGGGGGGAACGCTCCTTAGAAGGAGGCTGCTTCTTGGGAGGCGCTGGCCCTGCATCTGTAGAGAGGGCCCGCGCCTTCTGAGACGCAGGGGTGCTTCTGAGAAGCCTTCTCCCCTCCCCCGGCCCCCCTCTGCGCGCGACCTACCAGCCTCGCTCGATCGCCCCCATGAAGGGGCAGCGTCAATGACACGGGCCCCAGGATTCCCAATATTCTCTATATTTCCTGGAGGTTCGTCTCCCCCCTCCGCTTCCCATAGTCTCCATATTGTTTTCCTGGGAATTCGCGATTCGTGGTGTCTGCGTGTTTTCTCCCTCCTGAGTCAGGAGAGGACCGTCTCCAGGGGCTGGGACTTTGAGCTGAAATCGGTGCTACCTCGCCGACAGGACGGCGATGAGCTCCAACACCGAGACCGCACGCTCCTTCTCGGCGATCCATGTGCGATTGGGGTCGAGCCGTTCCCCCCTCGCTTAGGGAAACGAGCAACTGCATAAACCTACACTTCCCAGGGGCCCCCAGCGCCGATCCAAGAAATGTGCGCGGAGCTTCGGAAGTTTACGCTTATGGCGCCCTTTCTCCTTCGAGCCAGGCCCCCATCGGCGACCTGTGTGCGACTGGGGGGTCGAGCCGTTCCCCCCCCCCCACGCTGCCCCCGACCCCACCTCCGATATCGACCACCTCGGGGCCGGCGTCCTCATCTTGTCCGCAAACGCCGTCTGCCCGCGCCCGAGCACCGCCACCCGGCGGCAGCCTCCGGCGCCGCCAGGGCCCCCGCATCCGCCTCGCGCGGCGGGAGCAGAGGGGGAGGGATGCAAGAGCGGCGAGCGTGTCCACATCCATGCGCTCAGGATCCCCTGGATACGACCCGCGCCAGGCATCTTCGCAAAGACGGCCTGCCCACGAAGAGAAGGCGACGAGAAAGGGCACACTGTAACGGCGACGACGGCGGCGGCGACGACGTGGAGTCGTGAGACCTTGGCGCCGCGACAGTCTACCTTTCACGCCGGGCGTCTTCGCCAGAAACGGACCCTCGCGGCTAATCCCGCTCGACGTCGGCGGCGCTCGCGGGGGTGGGTGTGTGTGCGGGGAGGGGCGGCGCAGGTCGGCGCTGGTCGGGGCGCTGGCCGCGGGTGTTCCTCGTCGGCGCTGGTCGGGGCGCCGGAGCCTGGGGCCGAAACCCGCGCGGATCTCCCGCAGCGCGGGCCCTGACACTCCGAAGAAGACGGCGGAGGGCTGGCGCTCGCGGCAGGTTCGTGCGGTGACGGCCCCGGCGTCGGTTTCCAGCATCGCGTGGACCGTTCAACCTTGAACGGTATGGGGCAACGAGAAGGCACCGACACCGCTACTCCCCAGACCTCCAGGCGGGGCGCGTTCTGACCAGGACTTCGAGGCGAATCCAGCAGTGGCGACGAGGGCCGCCCAGGAGGCCCAACGAGGGGAAGATGGGCGAAAGGTGGCGGTATAGGTACACCTTCCGCTTCTGAGGCATCGCGTGGACCGTTCCACCTCGAACGATCGGCGGCGTCTCGATCGCCCGATCGTAGTTTTGTTTTCCCCCGATGCGGGGCGTTGCCCTCTCTTGGCCTTGACGTGAGGCCCCTCCTTCTGCCCTCCTCCCTCTGCCAATTAAAGCTGTCCGCTGTCCCGACCGGAAGAGGCTCGCTCTCGACCCGCGGATCAAAAATTGGTTTTCCCCCGATGCCGATCCAAACGCCCGGGGATTTTAACCCTTTTGAGCGCCCGCGGCACGGATCGCAGCCGCGTCGGCACGGCACGACCGCCCCCTGCGAAGGGCTCCAGCAGGCCAGAGATGAGAGAGCGGGAGGCTGCCAGGACGGGTCCTCTTGCCGTCGCTCGGACGTCCATTTCCCGTGGATTTTTCGGTTTCGTGCGTGTTTTTGTTGCTCGATGGTCCAGGATGATCCTTGATGGTTCTCGCCGGGAAAAAATGCACACGTCCGATAGATGCCAAGTCCTGGGCCCCCCGACAAACATGTCTAGCCTGCCCCGACGTTGCAACGCGCCCCTGGGACCCGCTGGGCCTCGTCAGGGGCGCTCTGGAGTTACAGTGCTCTTGGTCGACAACCTCTTGAACAGCACTGTATCCCGACTGTATCCCGAAAAGGCAATGAAAAGGCCATAGAAAATAGTGCAACATGCGTTTGCAGCGGGATTTGCTGAGCACTAAGAGACGTATGTGAGTTTACTGATCTTCTTATCATGTGATTCTAGATTATGGCTTATGTCGTGTGATTTGTCCCCCCTACGCACGCTTATGATACTAAGTACGCCTTCTGGCCTGCTGGCTTGGTGCAGCAAGCTGCGGTCTGAAGCGCTAACAAGAGCCACTCTCAACATTCCTCATGGTCCTCCGTCCCCGAGGGAAGAGCAGAAGGATAGATGGCAGAAGGAGAAGGGTAGGATGGAGAGGAGGGGGAGTCCCAAGGAGCGTGCGCCATGAAACTTTCACGCTCGCGACGCAAGACGGGAAACGGGAACCACGGGGAAAGGCAGGTCGTCGTCTTCGTCGCAGTTGGCCAGGATGGCTGTACACATATATATATATATATATATACCAGATGTTACCGGCTCGCTGCGCTTCGCCTTTACAATCTTGGTCGCATGGCGCCAGGGAGGCGCGATGAGATCGGTTGTCGTCACAGCCGCGGTGTGTTCTGGCCATGGAGACAATGGAGCAAACAGGGCGGATAGGACACAGGGAATATTGCGGCTCAAAGAGCTCAGAAGGGGTCTCTGCCGTCATGGGGCCCAAGGGCTCGGAGCCCCCATTTTAGGCGAGGGGTAATGCTGCCGATGCGGCTCCAGGGGGTCATGAGACTCAAAGGGTTTACAGGGCTCATGGGGCTCGTTGGGGTCATGGGACTGTTTGTGCACATCCGGCACGGGGCTCATAATGCTGAGTGGCTTTTACACAGGTCATGGGGGTCATAGGAGGCTCATGGTGCTTATAAGGGTCCTGGGGCTCCTTGGAGTCTTGAGCTCTTGGGGGCCATTGGGCTCATAGAGCTCGCAATGCTCCGGGGGGCCATAGGGCCCATAGCGCTAACAGAGCGCGTAGGCCTCGTAGGGCTCATGGGGCCGATTGGGGTGGAGGGGCAAGTCGGGGCCATAGGGCTCATAGGGCCCATAGGCCGTATACGGCTCAATGGGCTCGTAGGGCTCAGAGGGGGGTCTCATGGGTCTCGCAAGGCTTCACGGCTCCTAGTGATAAGGGGGTTCTAGGGCTCATAGGGTGCATAGGCCTCACAGGGGTCATCGCGCTCATATGGTGTCATGGAGGGTCGGGGGGGTACGGGCTCGGCTCATTGAGTTCATGGGGCTTCTGGGGCTCGTGAGCTCATAAAGGTCATGGGGCTTCTAGCGCTCATAGGTCTCAAAGGGCTCATCAGGCTCATGGGGCTCATGGAGCTCGGAGAGCTCATGGGCTCGTAGAGCTCTTAAGGGTCCTAGGGCTCATTGGAGTAATAGGGTTCGTGGGGATCATAGGGCTCATGGGGCCCATAGGGATCACAAAACTCATAGGACTCATAGGGCTCATAGGGCTCATACGGCTCACGGGTTCGTAGGGCTTAAAGGGCTCATTGGGCTCATAGGGTTCATAGGCCCCATAGAGCCCATAGGGCTCATAAAGCTCGTAGGGCTCATAGGACTCATAGGGCTCATAGGGCATGCCACCTCACCGCTCAACCGACGGTGAAGAGCCAACGTGTGCATGCCACCGCACCGTCCATGGCGGCACACCCGTGATCTGGATTATGAGTTGGAGGGGCCCTTCGCGGTCTCGCGGCGTGTGGGGGTGAGAGCTCTGGAGGTGTCAGGGTTCCCAGGCCTCACAGGGCTCATGGGGCACCATGAGGCACCATAGTGGTCGTAGGGCTTGTGGGGGCGAGAGGCCTCATATGGCTGATAGGGGTATGGCTTCTCGGGGCTCTCGCGGGGCTCCTTTTGAGGCTCTTTGGGGCTGTCTGGCGGCCCTCCTGGGCCATCCCGGGACCCTCTTGGGCCGTCCTGGGGGGCTTGGGCCGTCTTGGGGCCCTCTTGGTTCTTCTTGGGGGCCTCCTGCGGCCTTCTTGGGGCTCTCTGGGAAGCCTGTTGGTGCTCTTTGGGGTCGTCTTGGGGCTCTCTTGGGTTGTTTTGGAGCCCTTTTGGGCTGTCTTAGGGCTCCCTTGGGGACTTCTTGGGCCGTCCTGAGGCGATCTTGGGGGCCTCTTGGGCCGTCTTGGACGCGGTGAAGGCCAAAGAAGCGGATGTGCTAAACATGTACGCTTTCCAAAGGGAGTGGAACGATTTTGACCTCTTGGGGGTCTTCTTGGGGGCCTCGTGGGGCGTCTTGAGAGCATCTTGGGCCGTCTTGAAGCCACCTTGAGGCCGCTTTGAGCGCTCATGAGCCGTTCTGGAGCGGTCTTGGGCCGCCTTGGGGCTTTTCGGGACCGTCCGGGGATGGCTGGGAGAGGCGCCCGAAACCGAAATTCACATGTTTCGTCGGTGGGAGCACCCAGAGCCGAATTTATGTACGGGAGGGGGGGCAGGGGGGTCTTCCGCCATGAGAGTATTCGAAGAGGAATACACATATATATATACTCCCATATGTATGTATATCTATATATGTGTGTATGCATGTATGCATGTATGTATGTATGTATGTATGTATGTATGTATGTATGTATGTATGCATGGATGGATGGATGGATGGATGGATGGATGTATGGATGTATGTATGTATGTATGTATGTATGTATGTATGTATGTATGTGTGTATATTCATATATATATATGATCCCAGGTCAAGGGTTCCCAGCCCCCCCCAGATGGGATGGGGGTGGGACGACGACGACGCAGACGCCGACGCAGACGCCGTCGACGATGCCGAGGCCGACGGGAGGCGATGAAGACGACGAAGACGACGAATATGACGACGACGTAAGATGACGACGACGACGACGACCACGACGACGATGACGACGACCAAGACGACGACGACGACGACGACGACGACGACGACGACGAACGACCCCACAGCCACAGAGGGGGGGGGGACCACTGGCACCATCCACCACGCCGCGCACACTGGGCCACGACCACGGGGGGGGGGCGATCTCATTCGCGAGGCCTTCGCGAGGCTCCCGGGCGTACCGAACCAGCGGGGAGGGGGGCTCGATCCCATGTGCATTTGGGGGTGGGGTGCAACCCTGGATCATAGAACCCTACGTATATTCCCCCCCATCGCCAAATAGCGCGGTTGCCCGATAGCCCTACACCCAATTCCCACGTACAACCATGTTGGCAAGACCTACACGATTGCACGAAATCATCGTCCGTCAGTGGTCTTCCGTTCTCCGTCCTCGTCCGCCATCATGCGTCGTAGTCGTGCTCGTCGTGGTCCCCGTCCTCCGTCGTCCGTGCTCCGTCGTCATTAGTCCGTCCTCCGTCGTGTTGTCGTCGTCGTCGTCGTCGTCGTCGTCGTCGTCGTCGTCGTCGTCGTCGTCGTCGTCATCGTTTTGGTCGTCGTCATAATACGGCCCTGATGCCCCGCAGACCGAGCCCTGCAGCCACCTCTGGTCGGGCAGCCTGCTGGTGATGCCCACCTGGTGCTCGTGCATGGAGCTCCGCGCAGCTGTGCAGACCTACCAGACCGATGTCTCCGAGCACCGCTCCAGATCATGTGTGGCACACCGTGGCCCCGAGATGCGCACCATACGCTCTGGGATGTATCGCTTCTTGGATCGGCCAACCGGGGATGCTGTCCCAGTCTGTAATGCGGGATGACGAGTAATAAAAAATGAGAGGGAACGACTAAAAAAATAGATATCTGCTATTTCTGCATAATTTTCTGACTGGGGGAGAACGATATGTAAAACCCGCGGCTGGTTTTTTCTAATCGTCATCCCGGGCGCCGCCGCGTGAACACGACCCCCGGTCATTTATTAATCGTCATCCTCCATTATTCCGCCGCGGGGTCGCCCAGGCATAGCACGTGCGTGAACATCGCGGCGCATGGTCGGCATGAACGGTCTCGGAACTGGCGCTGGCAGCCCTGCTCGTGGGGCGGCCTCGCGTGGCCCCAGGCCCGAATCCTTCGGGCCCGAGGCTCCTCCTCCTCCTCCTCCTCCTCCTCCTCCTTCTTCGTCCTGCTCCTCCTCCTCCTCCTCCTCCTTCTTCGTCCTCCTCCTCCTCCTCCACCTCCTCCTCCTCGACCGGAGACTGCCTCCAGGCTTTGGGCTCAACGAGATAAAAGCTCGTGAGTTTCGCAGGCTGTGCAGAGCTCGGGATTCCGACGATCCGCCGGGCGAGGGTGTCTTGTTTTCCTGAGGGGGGCCCTGTCGCTGGCCCACGGTATGCAGCCTGTCCGAGCCGCGCCGTGTTGACAAGAGGGTCCTCTTCGATGGCCCCCCTCAAGGTTTTTGGACTCTCTCTCTCTCTCTCTCTCTCTCTATCTCTCTCTTTGTTCCCCTTAGAGGGAACCGAACTCTACACACCGACGCTTTCCCCGGCCCTGCACTGAAATCTGCAATCAGGAAAACGGATCCTGGTGTGTACGGGATCCTGGTGTATACATGTTTCGTTGTTTCCCCGAGAAGCGGATCAACGAGTATACACCACACCACACCACCCCGACGTCGCCCCCGACCCTCAAGAAGTCCCGGGACCGGAAAACAGCCCGACAATGGTCATGGATATGCTCCTGTTTCCGCTCTCTCTCTCTCTCTCTCTCTCTCTCCGTCCCCCGTAGTTAGGGGGAAAACAAACCTACCTCGCTTTTGACCACCCTCGCTTCCAAGAGATACCAAACGATGCCAAACTGCAGCCTGTACTGGTCAGGCCGCTTGACGAGGAGGCGCATGGTATGGCTTGGTTTTGCCTGGAAGCGAAAGCGGGGTAGGTAATTCACGCTCTGAGTAGTGGCGTGCACAGTCCTCCTCGACCAGCCGAGGAGGACCCCGGCGGCAACGCCGCCTGCAGAGCTGGCGGAGGTGGGCGGCGGCAGGGGGCGCAGGGCCAGCGGGTCGTCCTCGGGCGGCAGCTCAAGCGTGCAGCCTGGGCCGGGGCTGCCGGGGCGTCGTCGCAGGAAGAGGTCCTGCTCCGCCTCCGCCTCCCTTCCACCTCCTCCTCCTCCTCCTCCTCCTCCTCCTCCTCCTCCCTCCTCCTCCTCCCCCCTCCTCCTCCTCCTCCCACTCCCCTCCTCCTCCTCCTCCTCCTCCTCCTCCTCCTCCTCCTCCTCCTCCCTCCTCCCTCCTCCTCCTCCTCCTCCTCCTCCTCCTCCTCCTCCTCCTCCTCCTCCTCCTCCTCCTCCTCCTCCTCCTCCTCCTCCCTCCTCTCCTCCTCCTCCTCCTCCTCCCTCCTCCTCCTCCTCCTCCTCCTCCTCCTCCTCCCCCCATCCTCCTCATCCTCGGCCACGTTATCTTTCTCAATGTCTTCCCAAGCGATCGCCATCGCTTCACCCTCCCCCCTCCCGCCCCAGCGATCGACATCGCTTCACCATGCCCGTTCCCGCCAGCGGCCGTTCAACTGCTACAAAGAAAACGATTTCATACAGGGATGAGGACGGTGGAGTCGGCAAAGAGAATGAGGAGGAGGAGGAGGAGGAGGCGGAGGATACACATACACATGCGCGCTGGCCCGGGTTCGCGAGAACAACATCATCGTACCCGTCGGTGGGGGACGAGGGGAATGTAAAGGGTAAGTGAGGAGCTTCTGCTTAATAGTGCAAAGAAGTGGTACTTCAGTTATGAACAGTAAATGCCAAGACTTATATGTAGCTTGCCACGATCAGCCAAATTCGCCGGCCCAACGGGCCAGAGGCGTGCTAAGATCTCCGGTAACTACTTAACAACATTTCTAGTTCGCGCGCGCGGGGCGGCCCATGGGGGGCCCCGGACGAAAAGTACCCCGGCCGATCCCGGCCGGGTCCCGGGCGATCCCCAGGGGGGAGGCTATTTTTCGCCACCCCTCACGAGGATCGTGGCCTCCGAGGGGGGGCTGCAATCGACTACTTCCCCTCCCGCCCCAAGGGGCCCCCAAGAGCCCCCCAAGAGGCCCCAGGGGAGCCCAATACGCCGCCGAGGAGCCCCAAGACGCTCCCAGGAAGCCCCCAAGAAGCCCCCAAGACGGCCCCAAGAGGCCCCAAATAGCGCTCCAGGGCCGGCGGAATGAGCGAAGCGATTCAATACGACAATAACGTTGAAAGAAGCGCAACTGGATCGACACCGCGGAACATCCTTACAATGTTACCAACCGCTATGGGTATTCACGAGCTTCCACCTTGCAAAACGTAATTCGAAACCCAGCGGTTTCTGGAGTGCAAGTCACGTGAAAGACTGCGCCCTGCCAGCAGAGGCCGATACAGGGGAAAAGCGCTGGAAATGGGCATACACATATCCTCGGAGATCTGGGGCGTCCTCCCGAGGAAGCAGCTCGCGCGCACCGCAGGGAGGTGGACGAGCCCTCCGCGGGGTCCGAAAAGGAAAAACTAACCAGCAACACGCAACCTAGCCTCACGGAGAAACTTCAGCGCCAGAGCGCTGGCCGAGAGGCGCGACGCGTGTCTGGCAGAGGCCCGCGCGCCAGCACGGCCACTGTCGAAACTCGGCAGAACCTCGCCGTTTAGCGAGAGCTGCTGGGGCCCTCCACAAGTGCGCGCGGCACCGCATTTCGAGTACACCCGGGCGGACTCACTAGTCGACGTCCAGAGACAATCGAATCTATCCCGCGAGCCGCACGTCGATTGGCCAAACCGACGGGGGCATGCACGGGCACACTCGCACGCCAGTGTAGAATGAGCCCGTGCAGATTTTTCCTCCGTCGACGTTTCTCGGTGGGCACTTCCTCGACACCCGATACGGAAGATGAAAGGAAAACAAACACGGCGGGCGCGGCGGTCGTCGTCGTCGTCGTCGTCGTCGTCGTCGTCGTCGTCGTCGTCGTCGTCGTCGTCGTCGTCGTCGTCGTCGTCGTCGTCGTCGTCTTCGTCGTCATCCTCGCCGCACGCGCCCCCTCTCGTGTTTCCCCTGTTCTCTGTCGGTCTGTCTGTCTCCTTCTCTCTTGGGCTAGACGAAGAATAATTCCGAAACGTACATTTTTTGGCGCTCCGCGCGGAAATCTTGGATCTGCGCTGGACCCACCCCTCTCTTTGGCGCGCGGAGCGCGCCAGTGGCGGCGCTGGACGCGCCGCCAGGGGGCCTCAACGCGGATCCAAGAGACCCGCGCGTAACGCCAAAAGTGCACAGTCGGGCTGCTGAAAGAAGGAACGCTAAATAAGGAACGAAGCCCCTCTGCGGCTCCAAAAAAGCATGGGTGCACGAGAAAGGCTAGAGGAACAACCGCGGAAGGACGTAAGGAACATCAAGTCCCTTCCGAATCCAAACTGCTCCTTATTTCAGCGTCTTGGCTGCATGTTTATGGCTTGCTTTTTCTTCTTCGCAGAACGTTCGCGCGCGCGCCCGCCTGCGAGATGGCGCGCGGTCTCCTCCAGCCTGCCGGCGCTCCACGCCGCCAGCGAGGCGGGGAACTCGTGGACCTGGGCGCGGGGAGACGGCCCCGCTCTCCAAGGGAGATGGTCTTCTCGAGGGCGGCCCAGCTCTTCATTGCCCTCCTCCCAATCCCTCCCAATCCTCCCAATCCTCCCAATCCTTCGCCTCCTCGATTCTCCTCCTCCTCCTCCTCCTCCTCCTCCTCCTCCTCCTCCTCCTCCTCCTCCGCCTCCTTCTCCTCCTCCGCCTCCTCCTCCTCCTCCTCCTCCTCGATCCTCCTCCTCCGCCTCCTCCTCCTCCATCTCCTCCTCATCCTCCTCCTCGTCTCCCTCCTCCTCGAAATTCCTCAAGATCCCCGACGCCATGCGTCACCACACAGCTCTGGGACCTCGGAGGCCCGGGCCGACTAGACGCCCCAGCGGCCCAAATCTTCGTTGCCCTCCTCCTGCTCCTCCTCCTCCTCCTCCTCCTCCTCTTTCCTCCCTCCTCCTCCTCCTCTCCTCCTCCTCCTCCTCCTCTCCTCCCCCCCCCCCCTCCTCCTCCTCCTCCTCTCCCTTCTCCTCCTCCTCCTCCACCTCCTCCTCCTCCTCTTCCTCCTCCTCCTTCTCCTCCCCCCCTTTTCCTCCCTCTTCTCCTGTGTGCGATCATCGTGGATCGATTGCGTAACTCTGTCTCCTGTTTTGCATGTTTGGGGCCTCGAAGGGCCTTCGCGGGGACCGCCGGACGCTTGCAAAATTGGCGGAAGGACTCGATGTAAGACAACGCCCTCTTTCTCGACCTCGCTCGGACGTCCATTCCCGCGCATTGTTAGGCTTCGTGCGTGTACCTTCTCGCATGATGACCCCAAAGGCTGCTCGATGGTCCCCGCCGAGATAAAACAAATCCGCACGTCCGAACGATGCCAAGCCCCTACTGAGAAGGCAACGAAACTACGAACGTACTGCGGTTCGGTACCGCCCGTCGGCGGTTGGAAACACTGGAGCTAATCTTGCCAACGTGCACGGAGCCACGGAGGGCTACATGCCAACACCCCAGCTCGGCCACACGCGGCCGGACTCGTGACGTACACGCTGAAAGTGCGAATTGGACGCGTCACTTGGAACTGACTCAACAAGGGGCTGGGCCTGAGAGAGGCGCCAATCCGTAATGCAAATACTACAATTGGATGAGCCAATCGCTTGGCAATGTCGTGCAGAAGGTGGCTTCACTTACGGCGGGATTCCCGCGCATTTGTTATTTCCCACAGCGGCTGCACAAACTGCTCCGACGGTTACGCGACTTGTGCAAAAAGAAAAGCAGGAGAAAAGACGCGTCTGTTCCTTTATGCGCCCGTCACAATGAAATCGCGCCAGTGGTATGATGATATTTTCATGGACCTCTTACCTGCTTCTTTTTTACGTCTGTTACGGGCTCTCTCCCTCATGACACGCTGGTCCCCGTGACTCATGTAAGCGCCTGCCTCCTAAGTTCCCGCAAGTCTCTTTTTCACTGTCAGAGTTGCCCCAGGAGGCCTTGACGACGGCGAATAGGTGACGGCGCTCGTCGTACTTCCTGACTGCGAGAGACGTGATGCCGTGGTCGCGACCAGCTGGCCTCCATAATGTATAGTCCACATGGTAAAACGAAACAGCAAAATCCCGGTTCTGCGCTATGCGCCTTCAATCGTAATCCGCGCCGCTGTAAGAGCTAACGTCCCTGTCCTAGCCGAATGGCCACAAGTCGTTATCTTCTACGGGTAGGCGACGCTGCTGGAGGATCTTCTCTTCCGACTGCCTCCCGCTGTAACGCATCACGGTGAGACCAATTTGGGTCGCCCCTGGTATAGGTGGCATAGAGATTATCTTTTTTGTTCACAAGAGCTTGGCTTTTAGTTGTATTCATCTGGTATCAGAGGATACCGAACTTCTCGACAAAGTTTCTGCCCTAACTGATCGGCCCCTGGGCGTCAGAGTCAAAACTCCCGCAATCGAAAGCCAACACATTAGCAGAGGTTGCAGACTTCCTCGCGGGCCCCCGAATTAAGAACCGGAGCGCCCGCGTTCCTGTCGTGATGTCCCCGTGGTCATTGTAAGCGGTGGCGCCGCTGCAAAGGCACTTCATGCCGATGGTCGTCGGACTAACTGTTCCCGGCATGCAAGGCCAGGTCACGAGCATGCCAGCACGCTCCATCTCCAATAACTCGGGCACGTCATGCCCCGGACTGCGTTTTGATTGATACCCCAGTCATACATGCCCACAGAATGCATACATTCCGGGCGCCACAGGCCCAGGTCAACCACTTCCATCCGTAGGAAACGCAATCTGGAGCAGAGTAGCGCGACAAACCCATTGGACAGATGTGCCCCGACGATGCGCGACAGTCCTGCGCTCAAGGCGCGCGGACCTTCCAGCGAGGCCACCGTTAACGCGTCGCGGAAACTGCCGCGGCAAAGTTTAAGGGGGTCAAGGTGAGAGTCGCGCTTCTCCTCGATTGCCCCTTCGCCCTGCGGATCAGCCGGTTCGCGCTGCGCGTGGCTGAGCGCCCCGTCCATGCGTTCGCCCCGCCACTCGCGCACCCATTGACTGATCTTCGTTACGTAGCTCGGGTTGCGGCGACAGGTAGGGTCGAACTGAAGGCGACGCGGTGGCATCTCGAAGTCGGGGCGCGAACCGATCAAGCAATGATGTGTGCGCGGTAAGCCACGGGCGGCACGTCAGAAGCAGCGGAACGGGTGCTCGAGCACGCCCGAAGGAGGCTGGTCCCTCGAGTCACCTCTTAACTTGACGCCCTCCCCATCACCCCTACTGGAGCCTCAATCTCAGAATCGATTGCAATGGGGGCGTTGCCCGACATCTCCTTGCAGTCGATGGTCAGTCCTTTGCGCGCCCAGCTCGACCATCCTGCAAACCCAGCTGGCAGATACCAATGCGCCTCGCTCAACTACTGCGGCGTAAGTCATGTCCGCGCGCATCTCGCATGCCTCCGTCATTGCTCCTTGGTTCGTCCACTCTTTAATGCTGGTAGTGGCCCCGATCGATTGTCCATCCTCCGTCCCCAGCAAAACCGTGCGACGGTCTCCCCAGCCGCAGGCCGCATCGCGGGTGCAGTGCGTGGGCTTATGGACCTTGCCACACTAAACTGGTGCGTTGTCTGCTGGTGGGAGTCCTAGATATATTCATATATGTACGCATGTCTGTGCTGCCGCACAAAAGTGAACCAGTATGCTGTCGATAGCAGCAAGATGTGGTCCGTGATCCTGCTGTCCTCCAGGATGTCCAGTCAATGCCATGGGAAACGATGTCGCCTTGGCTTTGATTTGCAATCATGCTGCAGATCTGTTCGTTATTGGATTCATGTATGTAACTAATGGGTTCACAGATCTCTACCTGCATTTGGGGTTGCGACGTCCCCCGCGTCGGCATCGACCAACCTCGTTCCTCTGGGGGCCTCGACCGTGGCTTGCCAGCTCTCGCTGGCATCAACCTCAGCGCATACCTGACAGCCGCGGAACTGCCGCATCCCTTCCAGACGCGCGTTAACCGTCAACTCTGGCATACATTCGTCGCCCGCGACGTCGTCGGGCACTCTGCGTGGCCCGACTTCGATGCGACGCGCTGCGCGCGCCCGTTGCGGACCGCGAGGATCGCGGCATATATCTTTCCGTGCGCCACGTGCATGTGCCAAGGGTGTTCATCCACCCTCGACGTTTGCAATCGCGACGTGTCCATTGATGGCCCGTCTCTGGCCGACCAGGAGATACATGTGGCTGTGACTGCGGTGCGCGGCCCCCCTCTGATCTCGCGCCTGCTCTGGCGCTGTCCTATGGCACTTGCCAAGCTGTCCGGACTGTCCTCCGCGACTCAGCCCGCGCCCGCGTCTCGGGTGACACTCCGTGCGCGCGCGCCCCATGCATGTCCGCTCGTTCCTGGGGGGTGCTAACCCTTCGCGCCGTCTCCCCTCCTGGCCCAGACGATTTGGCTAGCGTCTTTGGGGCCAGGTTCAGTCTTGAGGGCGTCTTCGTGTCCTAGGTTGCGGCGCGCGCGGCGTATTTCTCTCGTGCGATCATCCGTGAATTCGCGCCTGCTTCTGCTATTTTGGCTTGTTTGCTGGACTGGGCCTACCAGAGCGGCATTGCATGGGTGGCCCGGGTGCGTCTGGCAGGTTTGTCATCTCCCCTGGCCAATGCCATGGGCGCGCGATTTCTACTAGACTTGTTGCTTAGTTCCTTGCCGATCATCAGCGTTCGCAGTGCGCGTCGCGGGGCCCCTGGTTGTCAATGTCCAACCTTGGCGCTTGAAAATCATGCCGCAAATGCGCCTGTATCAAAGGACTGCGTTGACATCTGAGCGCGCGAGGAGTCCCTGGACAGGCGCGGCGGGCCAGCTCGACGCAGATCCCCGGGATTCAAAGGACGTGCAAACTGCGGCGCCCGTGCATTTCGCACCTTCCCACGGCGCACTGTCAGCGCTTAAACACGTGCTCGGATTTTCCCTGACTTCTCTCGTGACCCTGGCTTGGGTCTACGGAAGGTGGCGCGCGACGGGATCTGTGTGATTTAAAAGGCAGCAATGCTTTTGACTCTGTATACTGCCATCCACCCATGGCTACCGCGTAGACGTCGCGCGGTGCGCCGCGTTCATCGCGCGTCATTAAATCCATCGCTTTTTGGGGTACGCCCATTTTGTCAAACATGCCTGTCCCTCTTACCGTGAATGCGCTTCACCAGCGTCGACTTGAAAACTTGCTTGGCTGTCCCCGCGCAAACAGCCTTGCCTGCGACGCGCGTTGAGTCCGGCGAGCGTTGACGCGTCGCTCGCGTCGGTGATCCACGTGGCAATGGCGCTGGTTATGCCAATGTTGTCTAACCCCTAACGTGTCTGCGTCTTCGTCACCCACCCTCTTGTATGTCTGTGCCTGTCTCTCTGCTTGCGGTAGTTCTTTCGCCGTTTGCTTCCTACCCTCGCCTTGGTAACCCTGCCCCTGTGATGCGGTCGCTTAAATTTCAGTCCACGCTGTAATGGGGGCCGTTGAAGCTGCGCCCCCGCTCTTTCTCCCACTGTCCTGTGTCCCAAGCAGTTATCTGCACTCTTCGTTGGTGGTGCGGGTGGTTCTGCTGTGCGTTACTTGTTCCCAGGGTCTTCGTACTCCTGGGCGCCAATTGAGCCCCGATCCATTCTCGGGGGTGGATAGCTCCACGCTAGCCGCCCTGCGCATCCTGGATGACGCATTTCCACTGGGCGCCCAGTGCCCCCCCCCCCCTCCCCCTGGATGATGAGGGGTTCCTCGCAACAAAGGCTCCCTTCTGGCCCCCTTGCCCTCATCTTGACTCTCTCACGACCACATGGCAGATGCTAGCCGCTAGCCTGGATGCTATGCTGTGGCCATCTGGGCCCCCGGCTACGCAGTTACTCGGACTCGGCGATCCGCGGTTCGTGACTTGCGGCGCAGCTCAATATGGCCTGGCCCAGCGCCCGCGACATCTCAGCGCGGCTCGTATTTTGACAGATTCGGGTTTCTATGCGGCTGTCCCTCGCACAAGGTGCGGGTCGACAGGAGCTCTTCATGTTTCAGCAATTGAGGCGTGGGCGCGATTGCCCTGGGACGCGCTTCGCGCCCCATGGCGTTGTGGCCGGGCTGCCGAGGTGGTCCTTCTAAGGCGATTTCTTCGACGCACCATTTCCCTTCTCCGATTCCTTTTCCGATGGTTCGCGGGCGACCTCATTGCCCCCGAGTTGGCGCCGGGCATGATTTCCTGACTTTTGTCGCATGCCCCCCAGAGCGCGCCCGACCTCCACTGGGGGTCAAGCAAGAGTCTTACTGCGGCTCGGCATTTGAAGCGCGTCGCAAACCACCAAACTCTGGCAATCCTCGATTGGAATTCCGCCCTCGGCTCCAATTATGAACTCGTTGGTCAGCGGCGGCGCATATCGAACATCCGCGGCGCGAGGTAACGGTGATCGGTTCGAGGTTAGCTCAGTTTTGCAACGCGCTTCGCGGGCGCTTGAAGCGCCCTTGCTAGATCTCGCGCGATACGGACGGCCCCCATCCGCCCCCCATCCCCTCCCGAACCCCCTGAGTGGGCGGCAGTTGCTCCTATTGCAATGCTCGCAAATGCCTTCGCCGCTACCGCCAGACGTGGCCGACGATCCCCGTCGCTTTGAAGCGATGCTTCACGATGACCAGTGACTGCGCCGCGTATTCCATGACGCTGGTGGAATAACTCCCGCGCCCCCTTCCAGGGTGAAACTCAATCCCGATCAGTTCGGCCTCCTGCCAGCGCGTCGCAAGGATTGGGCCGCCCGCGCAAGCTTTGGCGCTCACTGAGTTTCGGATATTGACCCACGCGCGAATCCCACGACGCGGCATGCGGACTTCAGATATCACCTACATTTCATCTGGAACTGTCTGGCCCTATAATTCGCGCAGCGTGGGCGCCAGCTCTCGCGCGCGAGGCCACTGCCGTCGCGCGCCTAAACCTCTTGCCCGACGGGGCGAGAGCCACGCGTGACCCGTGTTACTGTCTCGGCTTGTTCACTCGCGCGCGCATCTTCGACGTCGATATTGCCGCTGCCGGCCGCTGGATGTCCTTCCTGTCATCGCCTTCGCCCCTGCCGTCCTTGCCGCTGAATCCCACTAGCCCTCTGGGCGTCGGTGGTCTAAGGAGCTTCCTCTTCCAACCCCCTTCTTCCCCTCCGGGGAAAGGTTTCTCCCTCCCCCGACCCCCCCCCTGGACCTGGACGAAGGGTTCCGCGGGTCGTTGGGGCGTCCAAGATGGCCCAAGACGGCTCCAAGAGCGAAAAGGCGAGAAAGCACAAAACATTGATTTCCCATCGGTTTTGGAAGGATTTTGGCGCCTTGGGGGGCCCAAAAAAGTGATTCGAGGCACTCTAGAGGGGCAGGGCTAATTGACGACCCCCCCTTCTTTGATAGATCTCGCCCAAGATGGCCCCAAAAGCGGCCCGAAGGCTCCCCGGAGCGCCCCGAGAGCGCCCCAAAACAGCCCCAGAACGCCCTAAGAGGGGCCCCAGAGGCCTCCAAGAGACTCCCAAGAGATCCCCCAAGAGGCCCCAAGAGGCCCCCCGAGATACGCGAGAGGCCTCTGGGGCCGCCCAGAGGCCCCACAGACGGCCCAAGGGGCCCCCAAGCTCGCCATTGTTCTCCTCCTCCTCCTCCTCCTCGTCCTCTTCCTCCTCTCTTTCTTCCTTCTCCGTCCCCCTCCCTCTCCTCCTCCCCCTCCTCCTCCTCCTCCTCCCCCTCCTCATCCTCCGTCTCCTTCTCCTCCTCGTCCTCCTCGTCCTCGCCCTCCTCCATCTTCTCTCCCCCTCCTCCTCCTGCTCCCCCTCTGCCTCCTCCTACTCCGACGACGACGATTCCTCCCACATCCTCCCCCTCTTGGGGCATATGGCGGCTTACCCGCCCATTGTTCTTCTGCATGCTCCCCCGCTCCCCTCGTCACCTCCACTCCCCTGGGGCTCATTTCTGGACGGGCTGGTGGGGATGCGCGAAGCGTCTATAATTTTTCCTTGGCGATAATTCTGTTGTGCGGAGCCAGATGCAAGTGGCTCTCCCGCAAGAACCCCTGCCGCGGGAAATCCCCCTCGTCGCTGACTCCACTTGCTTGCTGCGCTTACCCATGGCCCATGCCTGCAAGGACCTGCGCAATGAATTGGGACGCCCCGCTACGCTCACGAATGATGATTGCCCCCAATCCCCCCCGGTGCTTTGTTAGGCATCGGCGTCGCCTCTGGTGAGCACCCTTGTCCAGCGCGATTATGTTACCAGCCTCGAGCCCAGCGCTTGCCCCGCGTCGGCGACTTCAGCGCGCGGGCATACCCGGGCTCCTGCTTCTCTCCGGCCGACGATGTCCACTATCTGCCCGTAATGTTTAATCACTATTCCGTTGGCTGCGCCGTAGCGCCCTTCATCTTTAGACGCCTCAGTTCGCTGAAAGTGGATGTGAATTCCTAAGCTTGGGAGCCCCGCCGCCCCGCGCGCCCCCGAGTCTACAGCGGCTGCGATTGTTTCCGCGCGCGGCTCGGGACTGTCGTTGGGCAAAGAATTTACCTCCCCTGCTCTTCCACCCGCTTCCACTAATGAGAAACCACCTGCAACGCTCCTGATTTCGCAGCCCAATGCGTCGTTGTGACCATGAATCTGGCACCGGAGATCTCCGCATTTCACAATTCGTCGTTGCTCGCACGCTTGTGCCTTCCTCACATGCGTTGGCGTTTGCCATGGACCGTCAAGCGCGTGGGAGATAGAGCGTAGAGGCGTAGCACCCAGGGTCCATTCCCTGCCGCGATTGTCCAATAGCGCGAATTCCCTGCTCGTCACTCGCAAGGTGCACCTCGCTAGGCACCAATGGCGCATCTGGCGGCGAAGCGCCCTGTCCGCCCGCACTTGCAACGCTCGCGCTCGCCCATCCCATTTTGTGGTGCCCGTTGTTTGCCTGATTCCACGTAACTCCCGTGGCACCTTGTGCTACATCGTTTCTGCCAGATGAGGCATCCTTGCCCGCTTGGTTTACTCTTGCCTCTATCTTTGGTTTTGCGAGCCTTTGGCACGTGCCCGGTCCCCCTGAACTTGTAGCGTGCTGTGTGTACCTTTGCTTTCACCGTCACTGCCTGCATCTGCGTCACTTTCTTCACGCCAGGGTTCTCCACCGCAGTTGCAGGAATTCGCCTCGCCAGCAGGCCACCAATAAACCTCATCATCGTTCTCTCATTGGTAGTGACCTTGGTCGTTTTGCTGGTCACCGAATGGATCTCCCTTTCCGACGGCTCCAGTGTCCATCGCATCACTGGTTGTGGCGCCCAGCCGTCTCTTCCTGGCCCAATCTTCGCACATCAAGTGCAGGTTGTCATGCGATCCGTCGGTCAACGCATCGGGCGTCTCAAAGACAAGCCCTGCTGCCAATCGCCAATCGCCGAACCACTCGCCAGCATGGATAATGATTATCTTGAGGGGCGTAAACCCATGGGGGTAAGGGTAGCGCATATGTTGCCCCGCATATGTTGAACAGGGGTAGTCCTTGCTCTCTTTGGTCTTTCTGGACTCATGGCCGATCTCATCTTGGCGCACAATGTCACATCAGTTACGTCAGAGTACCACTTGTCGATTCTCATGTGTGCGATCAGCCCGCCGCGTTTCCTTGGCCCCTGTAATTTGCCTCGTGCCACTGGGTTCTTAGTTTCTCCCCGAAGGTGTACCCCAAGTCCTCGTCTTGTTTACACATCTCGACTTCACCCAGTACCTACTCAGCGTATGGCTCATCATCTTGTCTCAATGTCGGCAGATGTGCTGTTACATCCGGCTGCCGTCCTTATTCGGCTCGTGAGCCTGATTCGATAGCTCTTCATGTGGGTCTGGCACGGCTCCCCCGTCCAGAGTTTCCATACTGGCGCTTGGAACTTTGCTTCCTTGCGGTTGCCGTGCGTGTTCCGCGCGAGGGCGTTCAGACGTCGATGGCTTCACTGTCGTAACTTGGCCTTGTCGCCGTTTAGTGCATTTACCAGTCGGATTGCTTTCGGTTCGCTGATGGGTCTGTGGGTTGACCTAATACTGCCTGCTCCCACGCTGTCAGCCAGCGGTGCTCAGAACACATTCGCTTCAACGTCTCATCAACCACTAGCCCCAATTCAACCACTCGGTTCGTGACAAACTCCGCTTCCATTTCGTATCTGATTTCGCGGTTGATAGTGTTCAGCAGAGCTGCGTTCGAATTGCTTTACAAAGCACCCGCGTCATTGGCACAGCACGTTCGATCGACAACTCTGGGTTTCCCACCCAACTCTGCTCACCGAGGTAGCTCGTCATAGCGTCGCGATGGGTTTGGAACGCTGCTTTGACAAAATCGTGACCACCTTGATTGTATGCGGCATGGTTTTGATCCCAGAATTCACGGTCTTGTGTTTCATTCAGCCTTGTCTCTTGGAGGGTACTGATCGTTTGACCTAGTTTCGCTGCCATGAAGTCGCTCCGTTACCATGCAAAATTGACAAAATGACTCGATGCAAAACAACGCCCGCTGCTTTCTGAGAAAGCAGCGAAAGTACGAACGCTGTGTGCCGACGATACCTTCCTTCGGAGTTTACACACACACACGCACTTGGACCGCATGTGCAGCGTGCGCAGTAACACGCGCGGCTATGTATGCAAACAGAGCCTCCCCCGCCCCGCTGCCCGAACGAACCGGGGGCGCAATCGCCCTCGGGAAAAGTGCCCCTGGAGAGCGAGGGGGAGGAGCCCCGGGATGCCGACATCCGGGCGGCGCATCTTGCCCACCCTGGGCTGCTTTGGGCGATCGACATCCTATCCGTGCTCATGGTCTCTCCACAGTCCAAGCGCGGCATGAACAAAATTCTGGCCGTCGGGGCCGTGCTTCCATTCATGCAGCCACGCCCTGCTTCCCCTGGCGCCCAAGGCGTGGGGGGCAGCAACAGGGGAGGAACAGGAGGAGGAAGAGGACCAGGAGGAGGAGGAGGAAGAAGAGGGAGGAGGAGGAGGTGGAGGGGGAGGAGGAGGAGGAGGAGGAGGAGGAGGAGGAGGAGGAGGAGGAGGACCAGGAGGAGGGAAGAGGAGGAGGAGGAGGAGGAGAAGGACGAGGAGGAGGAGGAAGAAATGGATCGAGCGTCGACCGTCGATCTGTCGCTGGGCTTCGGGCCCCCGGGGGCCTTGCAGATCGATCCAGCTCGGGGTGCGCCGCCACCAGCAAGGGTCGGGTGTGCCGGCAGCTCCTCCCCGCGACGTGCTGCGAACTTGCCGCGCCAACGGATCTCAGGGAAAGGGCGAGGAGGAGGACGGAGGCGAGAGGAGGAAGGGAGGGAGGGAAGGAGGGAGGGGGGCAGGACGCAGGCGAGAGGAGGAAGGGAGGGAGGGAGGGGTGGATGGATGGATGGCGGCCGCTGTGGGCGGTGAGTGGGCGCCGCGGGGACAGCGGCTGGAGGGCTGCTGGGAGGAGGACCCTCCTCGGCATTACCTCGCCCTGCCTCCGCGCCGCGCCCAGTCCCCCTCGGAAGCAGCTCGGGTGAGAGGGCGCAATGCGGAGGAGGAACCTGACTTCTGCAGCTGTCATGCATCCTGCGGCGGACTGAGACAGACGGACGGAGCGGGGGACCACCCAGACACCAGAGAGGTCCCCTTCGGGCCGTGCGCGGATGCAGGGGAGGAGCTCTGCAAACGAATCCGCCCTGAAGTCATCCGCCAGTCCGTGCAAGGCATGCCGCAGCCTGCCCGCGCGGTAGGGGAAGACCAACCGAATCAACTCCCAACCCGGACTCGGTTGCAGCCGCAACGACCCTAATCGCTGAGCCGGAATAAAATGACCATGTGTTTTTGCGCCAGCCCCTCTGTGGGAGAAGGGCTCGTTATGTGAGTTGGATACCTCGGGACGATAGAGAGAGAGAGAGAGAGAGAGAAAAAAAAAAACATACGATGGCGGGAAAAGGATTGAAACCCAAAACCTTTGACGCATGGGCACACTGAGCCGTCGGAAGCGGCCAAAAAAAATCTCCGACGAAAGGGACTCGGGGACCCACCTCCGCTCCAACCCCTGCCTCCGCGCTCCGCCTGGCGGCAGGCCGGATCGAGCCACGACCCTGGCCAACCCCGACCCACAGTGCTGGGGGCAGGCTGAGCAGTCGAAACCAGCGGTTCCGCTCACATGCCCGAGCTCCCCCCCAGGCCCAGCAGGATCTGCAGGAGGGAGGGAGAGGGAGGGAGAAAGGAGGAAGTGGGGCGGGAAGAGGCCCGAGGAGGAGGAGGAGGAGGAGGAGGAATAGGAGCATCCCAGCATAGAGGAGGAATAGGAGGAGGAAGAGGCGAAGCCGAAGACGCATAATAACAGGGCGCACACGAATGGTACAGTGATAACACTACGAATGATAAACATACGAATGGTATGAACAGTAACCTGACAATAGAAAATACATAACATAAACGACATACGAATTAAGCATAAGCATATAAGTAACAACTCCTCCTCCTCCTCCTCCTCCTCCTCCTCCTCACCATCACCACCATCAGCAACGACGACGCCATTGTCGTGGTAAAAAACAAAACACTCAGCATAACCCTACTAATAGTACTACGAACCCGTACAAAAGTAATGACACGCATCATGCTACTAGTAGAGAATAGGAAAGATGAGGATACTTGAAAGAGGAAGCATCAGCATACTACCAAGAAGAATAATGATAACAACAATAAGAAGAGGGAGCGGACTCTGCATTTCGTGTGGTCTGCCCCGATCAAGCGCACCTGCGCGCAAAAGCGCCCTACCTCGAGCGATCGACGAACGCGTGCGTCGAGGTCGAGGTCGAGGTCGAGGTCGAGGGAGGAGGATCGCACGCCACTGAGGGAGAGGCCCGACGGTCCAGCCGACAACCTCAAATGGGGCGGCCCTTCGGAGAGGACCTCTCCACCTCGACGGTGCGGCCTTGAGCCAACCGCACCGCGGGCCAGCGAGAGGGTCCCCGCCGAGAAACAAAACTCGCCGTCCGAATCAAGGTCGGGCAGGTCGTCCTGCCTCGAGGGAGGAGGAGGAGGAGGAGGAGGAGGAGGAAAAGAAGGAGGGGGCGGACAAACATCACTTTTTCCGACGGAGGTAAGCCTCCACATCTGATCAGAGGACCGCCGTCTCCTGCGAGGCGGTCGCCAGACATCAATGGCCATCACGGGCGAGAAGGAGGAGGGAGGTGGGGGAGGAGAGGCCAATCGGTCACCCATATACGAGGCAAAGGCACCGAAGCACATCCCAGAAGGGAAGAAAGAGAGAGGGAGGGAGAGGAGGACCCGCCGCAGTGAATGGGGGAAAGACCACATGCTCAGCCCTAGCCCTACACTGAAGGCCGCAAAACAGTAGTGGCCGATAACCAGAATGATGGCCAGGACGAAGAGGAGCATGGTCGACACACGAACCCGTAAAGGAATCTAAAACTGCGAGGCATGGAAACGTTCCCGAGCACCTCAACTGGGCGGTGGGCAGTGGCAACGCTAAAGATTTCAATGGTGATGACACTGTGCCAGCGGCCGTGTCGTGCTGCTCTGCGCTGTGCCGCGCCACACAGTGGCGTACCAGGGGACGCGCCACCGAAGGTGCCCGTGGACGTGCCAGGGGACGCACCAGCGCGCCGCGCGACGTGCCAGGGGGGCGCGCCGCGCTATGGGCCAGGCCAACGCACGCGGAACGTGACGCGGGGACGCGCCACGGAACGTGCCAGCGGACGTGCCAGGGGACGTACCCGGGGACGTGCCATGGGGACGTGCCATGGGGTGCGCCGCGCGACGTGCCCAGGGGAGGCGCCCGGGAACGTGCCAGGGAACGTGCCCGAGTGTCACGGTCCCAAACAAATTGCGCTGCGTCCGCGCTCTCAGGGCTACGACCCTTTTCTGTGAATTACGCTAGTTCGCAGTCCCAGTGCTGCGCTTCTTCTTAAGTTAGAAGGAGTCACGCTCCCTGGGCCATGATCCCTCGTAAATTTGGCTGCGTCCGCGCTCCCAGGGCCGCGATCCTTGCACATTACACTGGATGTGCGCTCCCAGGGCCACCATCAATCGTAAATTGCGCTGCGTCCGCGCTCCCAGGGCCGCGATCCCTCATGAATTGCGCTGCGTCCGCGCTCCCATGGCCAAGAAGCGCTCCGCGGAGGTTGCCCAAAAGAGACCCCCCGAAGTGCCCAGGAAGGCTCCGAGCAGAAAGGTACTCTAAGCC